GGGTTTAGGGTTCGGGTTTCGGGGTGTAGGGTTAGGATTGTTTATGATGGTTTGAGGTTTAGGGTATACACCCTGGTACAAGGCACAATTGCTCGTCCCAGCTCCACCTCTGGGACCTGTCTAGGGCTTAGGGTTTAGGGTGTAGCCCAAAACTTAAAGCCTAAACCCTAAATTGAGCTGGGAACGGAGTGTCAGAACACCAAAATTCAAATCCCAAACCAAAAGACCACTTGGAAGTTCAGGGGCCTTAGGGTTTAGGGTTTAGGGTTTAGGGTTAGTAAGTCGGGTTATAAGTCAGGCAACCATAGTTATATCTACCTCGGGCCCGAATTAAAGTACCCTGGACCCCACTTACTAAGTCATATGGTCCTCTGAGTACCCTCAAAAACCCCAAACCCTGTAACTAAACTGTATGTCCTACACCCTAAACCCACACGAGCCTCTCCAGGACTGCCCCGGCTTCTGCTTCGAGGCGATCGCACAACATGCCTGAAGCGTGCAGGGTTTAGGGCTTTGAGTTTGGGGCGAGGACTTTGCTGGTAGAGCTCACGGGGGTCCTGAAGGAATCCGGTACCCTAAACCCTAAACCCTAACCCCTAACCCCTAACGGGCCTTGCAGGGTTCTAGAAAGGGCTTAATCGGCTTAATGTTTAGGGTATGTGGCTCTAAACTTCGGGTTGAGGGTATGGGGTTTAGGGTTTAGGTTTTAGGGTTTAGAGACCAACGAGAGCAAAGTGCGCGGTGCTAGTAAACCAGGCGCGGCGTTAGTGACGTCTGCGCGTGGTTAGTGAAACAGGCGCGCTGTTAGTAGGAACGCTTAGAGACTTCGGGGTTTTTGACGGAGTCAAGAAGGGCTTGGGGTCTGAGGGATTTAATGGGTAAGGGGCGCAAAATGGATAGAGGTTCACCAGGTTTTAGACTCAAGTCCAAGGCTCGGGGTGTGAGATTCTGCTCTGTGTATCGGAGGGTTTAGGGTTTAGGGTTTGGGGTTTAGGGTTTTGGGCTTTGGGTTTAGGGTGTAGAGCCTGGGCTTGTGCAAAGTCCTTGGTTTGCTCTCTCCGGCTAAAAGCAAGCAGGTTATGATACAGTACAGATACTGCTTCTGGTGGCGATGGCAAGCGAGGCACTCGTACTACGTAGTGCTGGTAGCGATAGTAGCAGCACATGTCTGATCAACGGCTTTATAAGGCATCGCCGCAATGCCACAACTAGTTGCGACAATGTCTAGATTTGCAGGTAGACCCCGCATGCTTTGCATACATCTTTCCACTGAGCTACGTCTTGTCTGCTATTTTTCCATTTGCCAGAGCCGTTTTTTTTTCCATCGCCAGCGACGACAACAACCACAAAGCATCGCACACGACACACAACAAAGAAGCCAGACCACACAGACGCACGCACAACACACACATGCGGTCACAGTGCGACTAACGGCCGTGCTATCCGTAGTCACAGCAGACGTCGCAGCAGCAGGTGTAGCCGTAGCAGAGGCGTCAGCAACAACATTAGATGCAGCATCATCTTCAGCAGCAGCCATAACTGCTGAACCACGTATACGACGCTGGCTTTTCTGACTTTTAGCCGCGGCTAGCGGAGGCCCTAAATACTAAACCACCCCCCCGAAGATTGCGATCTTTAGCAACCGATGTGCAGAGCAGTCCAATAATGGAAGCCGTGCTACACTCTCCTACTGGAGGCCGTCATCATTAAGAGAAGGGTTTGAGGGTATACTTTACTAGGACTGAAGTGGCGGCTTAGGGTTAGAGATGGACCTAAATCCTAAACCGAGCAGTGTTGAGGGGAATCCTGGGCGTAATCCTCATGATCCATGGGCTAGTATATACCTAGGCTCAGACTCAGGATCCGCAGCTGGGCTCCCAACCTAGAACTTCGTCGAAATCCTCGCGTCGGAGGCCCTCGTAGCGATAGGCCAAGATCGTAAGGCCAATGACCACCTGGTCGCATTCCCTTGAATCCTAATCGAGCCCAAGCCCTAGTTAAAACCCTATAGCCCCTAAACCCCTAATCCCAAAACCAAACTCCTAACACCCCAACCGACCGAATAAGGAACCCTAAACATTTGGGGGCTTCGGGTTTCTTGTTTTTTACCGTTTGGGTTTGGGGTTAATAAGGCTTAGGGTTTGGGGCTTGGGGTTCGGGCTTATGGTTCTGAATTTAGGGCGTAGGGTTTATAGGAGGGTTTAGGGTTGAGGGTTTTAGGTTCTGGATTTAGGGCTTAGGGTTTTAGGGTGTAGGGTTTAGGGGCTTAAGGTTCTGGATTTAGGGCTTAGGGTTTGTAGGGTTTAGGGTTTAGGGTCTTGTCCCTCTCGCTTGGGTTTAGGGCTTAGGGTTTCTGGCTGTGCTTGAGTGCGCGGAAAGCCGGCAAGATAGCCACTACGTGCCACCTACTCACTGTTACTCTAGATCTCGAAGCAAGCATTCGTCCAACTATATGGGTAGTTCTCCTAATTAGGGTCCCGTTTTAGGTCCCCAATGTAGTACCGTACCCTTAGAAAAAGACCCTAAATGGGACCCTACTTTAGAGAACATCCCATATGCCAAGGCAAGCCTCAACTACACCATGACACAAGTACTTGGAGGTTCATGGTAGTTAGAACCCAATTATAACTATAATTATAACCCAATTATAACCTGGGTAAGTGTATTTAGGGGACTTACAATAGGGGTTATAAGCCAGTTATATTTGGGTTATAATTACCATGAGCCTCCAAGTAGATGCAACAAGTAGCATAGGGGCCTTTATAATTAGAATGGGATTTGGGGGTATATGATGCTATAATGATAATTTGGAACCCCCCCAAAAAATAGTATAGGCGATTGTTTAGGCTTCTATATTAACTCGATGTCAGCGACCTTTGTCTGAACGGCTTGCTGCTACTTCGAGGCATTTCATGCTGGCACCACGAATTCAAGCCCTCTATTCTAAACTCACGACCCTCGAGGCCTCAAGCCTAAACCCTAGCCCTATAAACCCCAAACCCTGAACCCTAAACCCAAAAACCCTAAACCCCCAAACCCTAAACCCTAGCCCTATAAACCCAAACCCTGAGCCCATCGACCAGACCATGAACCCTATCCCTAGCCCCGAAACTCCAAAGCTCCACAGCCAAAAGCCTAAGGGTTTAGGGTTTAGGGTTGGGGGCCTTAATAATTAGAATAGGGTTTTTGGGGTCCATTATACCATACTTATAATACGGAGCCCCCCAAGATAGTTTTGGTAATTATTTAGACCCCGATATTAACCCTAAAACCCACAATCCAACATCTTATTCTGACAACTCCAGAGGCACGTCGGGATGGGCGAACTCACTGGACTGGGACGGTACGTCTTTGCCTGCGACAGGCTGGGGGAGTGGAGTGACCCAGAGACTCCAATATCCCCTAATTCAGGAATATATTTGTAAAATTATAGTAGGATCCTTCATATGGTTTAAGGTATATTCCTTAAT